GAGAGAGAGAGAGAGAGAGGGGGGGAGAGAGAGGGAGAGATAGATAGATAAAGAGAGAGAGAGAGAGAGAGAGAGAGAAGGAGAGTTGGATCCTCTTGTTGTGTGTGTGCGTGTCTGCACTAATAATTATTGCTTTGGTTGGGTTGAATACTGGTTGCTCTAATGTAGGTTAGAGCACTTGGATCACATCGACGCCATAACGGTCATTTTCTTATGTAGGTGCTGTCGTGGTGTAGACAGACAGACAGATAGACAGACAGATAAACAGACTGACAGACACAAAATGCAGTCCGATTTGTTGCCCGATGCATGGCATGGATGATGTACTTTCTTCAAAGTCCGTCCCAACAAGATCTTTTGCCAGCGCACCAGACACGAATGGTGGAATTGAACACACCCAGTGTCAAGCTCACTTACTACTCTTTTAAAAATTTGTGTAAGCGTTTTACATCTCCATCGACACAATTTAGATCATTTGATTAGGAGGCGAGCTTCCAACCCTGCCTGTCTGGGTCAACAAGGCTGGGTTCAGAGAGATACAACATCCCAGAAGAAAAACTGAAATGCTCGATGAAATTTCTTCTCGCTGGGGAATCGAACTCGGGTCTCCTGCGTGCGACAGCGAAACTCCCCAACAGCTACACAGCAGACGCCACTGGTGTAATGTAACCACTCAGATAGTTTTAGTAAGAGTTTTACGGCACTTGAAACACAATAGGTCATATAAGTGCCGAAGATTAGAGGTGGGACAAGAAGGAGGGGAGATTAGGAGGATAGATTTTGGCTAGGAAAGAAGGAGCAAACCACACTAGAGCACCCGCCAACCACCCACCGACTCTGATTGAGGAAAGGAAGAGGGAAGACTCGTGTAATCTATTCCTGGAAGCCAGAAGTCAGAAAAGAATCGAGCGAGACCCCCAAACTAACAAAACACCGCGTCCCGTGTTGACTTAAAGCGTGTACCAACTGCGCCTCAGCTTAACTCCCCCTGCCATCCTGCTGTTTTCTAAACAATTGTCTCTCTTTGACCGTATCAGCCGCCAGGTGGCAGTGCACACAAACCCCAGCAGAGTAGCAGCCCCTGATCAAAGGGAAATAATCTCCAGTTTTGTCAGCACGAGAGGGGGCACGCGGGGATTAAGATCGCCCATCAAAGGTCCATTTTCCCAGCGGTCCAGTGCAAAATATTTATCGCGCGGGCTTTCAAACATATCCCGTGGTCATTTGTCCTGCGCGTGTTTATACATGTCAGATACTGTGCAGACCTGTTTATCTGTGCACCGAAAAACCCTCCAAGTTTGGGCCAGGGAGAAAGGAAGAGGGGACGACCATAACAACGCCTAAAACAGGCGTTTCTTTTATCCCATTCTTCGTGATTTAGCGTGACGTAAGCTTTGAATTATGTACGATCACGTGTTGCCATGACATTTTACGATCCCGTCTAATTAAGGCTGGATGTCACGTAAGGACACACACACACACACACGCACGCACGCATGCACACACAGACATACACACACATTCAAACATAACGCACACACAGACAGACACACACACACACCCACCACCAACACATACTTCACACACGCGCATGCACACAACCACCTTTGACTGACAGGGTCACAAATAGACACACAAGTACTC